TATGGTAGTTTCTTTATCAACTTGAAAAGTACAAAACATCCCATAAAGTGAATAATCTTCCCGTAAAAATTCCTAATCCCGTGTACATTAGTCACGCTCCTTACTTTTATAAGTTAGTGTTCAAAATAGGTCATCATGACCTTGTTTTTGGTGGCTACCAAACTGAACATCATGCGGCAGGTACGCCGAAGGCTATCCAGAGCAGTATGAATAGCCTTAGGAAATTAAGTGCTTAAGGTGAAATATGGGATTCGCCATATATTAGTAGCAAACATTTATATTAAGTCAACGCTAATAGACACCACACTCTGTCATTCAACAATGCTTCCACAATTTTGTAAGCCCGGTAGAGATAAAGTGTACATTGTACGTGACGGTGTTATCCTATAAAAAAATTAGTTCAAAATTGTAAGTGTTGGTCACAACGACCTAATTTTGATAAATTTCATTCTACCAGTACAAAAAGTGAAATCTTACAGAGTATATGATACAAAAGAAAGTTTGGGATAGGTTCACTTCCAACTTCAATTTCAAAATATTTTATTTACATAAAGACAATAAAGATTTTATAACAGAAAAAGACTATATTATAAGTCCTCTTTTAAACATGGACACGATTTAACACATTACATTCAACAATCTCAGATATGGAACAAAGAGGCAACTCCAATCGATTAAAACTGAAATATTTTCATTCTTTATTGTATTTCTGGTCATGAAATTGCCTTGCTCACAAGTTAACACTGTTCAATTGGCATGCTATGTTTTAAAAAAATAATTATTAGTTTCCAAATACTAAACGAAAGGTAGACGTAATTCAATCTGCGATTTCATCGGAGTCCGGTATTTGTAAACAATTAAACATTACTAGTATCGAGACGTCATTTTTCACTGCTGAAGAATTCTGAAAGTAATGACATCGATAAATTAAGGTCTGAAGTATAATTTTACCACAAATTGCGAATCCAGACGTAACAGTACTCGGCCCTCTTTCGCTGTGAAAACACAAACTTTAGAATTCAATCTCAATAACTGTTACAGCTCCCCTTACACCTGCGCTAGAGCCAAATCTTTCACTTCATTAGCTATCGACGGGGACGTGCAATTTTTGGAAGATATAAATTACCTATGTTAAAAAAGAAACGGAAAAAATGTTTTACGATACAACAAACACCAAACCAAACCATTTTATTTATGATCTTTCTCAAAATTCGACACCGTTTTTACACAAAAAATATATCAGATAGAAAAATTTTATTGTCCAGAATTGCGAAGGGGTTTATTATTTCACATGAAAAGGACCGGCCTTTGAAGTTTAAGCGTTTAAATATAAATGTTCAATAATGACTATCTATATAATGTGCCTGTATGGTGTATCTAATAGGTTCATGTTGTTTAAATGACGTAAAGAGAAATATATTTTTTTAGTATAGTGCGTCTGACCCGAGTATTTGAATAGTGAGTTGTATCAACGTCTAACGGGGAGGGGGGAGTGGTTGGTTGGTGGACCGAGGGTTAATTGATATGATCTGGCTCTATACATTCAGATTTTACCCTTAAAGGATTAAGTTAAAAGATGAAAATATCTTCTTATTATTGTCATAAAATATAACTAAATTTAAATAATTTTGTTAAAGTTGTAAATGATCACAATATAATTGTAACACATTGTTAAACGGTAAATATCGAACCATTCGCCTGAAATAAAGTTAATTTCTGATTCTTTGAGTCTGCGACCAATTTTTAGATATATATTTAAACTCTTATAATCGATATCGATCAGGTAACCAGGTTACAAATTCAGTATAAATAACAGAAAATCGCTGACCAGTGGAATTTTTTTAACTGGATGAGCAAACATTACTACTCGGCACAGCAGATTTGACAAAAGACATATCTTTTGACAATATCTGTACATAGCATCTTTAATTTTTTTCAATTAAAAACGTATGTGATCATTAAGGTCTGAAGATAAGGATTTTCCCAGATAATTTTTTGATATCTTATTCTCTGTTTAATTTAAGAGTTAAATCAACCGTAGCATACATAACTATTTAAATAAAAAAAAAACACAATACCGTATATATTCTAAGAAAAAAAAACGTAAAATGTGGAAGGGGTAGAGCATAATAGGAAAAATGTACATGGATCTTACGGTAAGGTGCACAGAGTTAAGGTAAGAGATCCGTGGGTGCATTGTAAGGGATACAGAGGAAGAGGTAGGGGGTAGGTGATGCAGGGTACAAGTTAAGGGGCACAGGGTAAACGGTTAGGGGGTAGTGGTTAGTGGGAACAGTGTACGTGTTAAAGAAACGGGCAGGGGGTAAGTGGTGGAGGGTACAAGTTAAGGTGTACAGGGTAAACGGTTAGGGGGTAGTGGTTAGTGGGAACAGTGTACGTGGCATAAGAAAGGGGTAGGGGGGTTAGTGGTGGAGGGTACATTGTTAAGGTTACAGTGATAGATGAAAGGATGCTGAGTTCAATGCGTAAGATAAGAGGTACAGGAAACATTGTCAAGAGTACAGAAAACTGTAGCAGAGACTACAGGAAAAAGTGTGTGTATGGAACGGGGCAGACTGAGTGGCAAAGTTGATAAGCATACAAATTACATAGGAGGTGATTACAACACATCCTCAATACAATCGTTTTAAGTCAACATGCTAAACCACTTCAAATCGTACACCTCGTAATATCAGGTAGTCCATGTGCTATCTCAAGTTTAAATATTTCTGAAGTCATGTAAATAACGACATGTGTGAAAAGAAGTAGTTGACTACACATAGAGAGCAAGAAAATCCCACTTTCTTATTGAGAAAAAAATTTCCAGGTGATCTAATTTGTGACATCTGTAAACTATACGCCGAGTGAACTTCCTTTATGTTGGTGTACAGGTGTTTGAGAAAACGCTAGTTAAACTCTCTACCTGTGGTACATAACTTCTGTACATGTATACTTACATATCTATTCGATGTTACGTACGTTCATAAATAACGTGATCATACTTAAACTTCATTTATATATAGACATACGTCCCACGCAGTTTATGACATAATTCATATACAGGTAAACTTTGACTTACGTCCGTCTAGACGAGTTACAGAAATATATCTACACTACCAATATTGAATACAATAAAGGCTGATATTGGACGCCATTTCACAGATAAATCAAACACGGTTTGGAAAGTTAGGAAACTCGATTCATAAACGTTGAAATGATCTGTCTCGGTGCTGTAAAATATGTTTTAATCATTGTAGTAATCCGTGTCTTTATAATGTATAAGATGTTATGCCTCGTGTATTCATTAAATGGGATTTGTAAAAAAAACCCACATAATTAAGATATGAATAATCGGATTCGCTATCTAACCGACTCTCACTCTTATATGAAATGTGTCGCGAGCGTTTTAAATAAAAGATATTCAGCGATCACATTCAAAGACTTTATTTAGATATGATATCTATCAATGCATGCATGCACATGTAACATTACAATGTATGTAGAAGAAGTAACGGTCAATATTCTTCACAAGAGGCCCGTTGGACCTGTATTTCTCTTTGTACGGTAGACTGTTGTATGTAAGACTTACTCCATCTAAACTGTACGAAAATGTGTATATGCAAAATAGTTGACACAGTCAATCCTGTGTATTAAGTTCATCCAATGTAGCAAAGTGGTCGTTGTAGGCAGGTGACCGCTACATAAAGGTTAATATTTTTTTCATATTGGACCTTAAAACCAATATCCTTTATAGATGCCTGTCGTTATGTAGAGCTTAATTTATTATTGATTATTATTTCTGGTGACCGTCATAGACAGGTACAACGAATTAGTTAGATTGATTGAATGTGAATGGCATTTAAGACAGGTAAGGTAATATATATATATTTACATACTTCCATGGCAGAAGTGTATCTAATCATGAACAATTACACATATATTCCTTTTTAGATTGCCAAATCCAGTATCTTCTAAATCTCATTTTAACTTCACTTATGAAATAAAACTTACCAATAAAGCAAGTGTCCTGTTGTTTTAAGGTCTAGAATGCTTCCAACATTACCACGTTTAGTGGTACCGTGGTCGTTCACAAAGGAAGGGAGGTAACTCCTATGTCATGTACATATAATTTTATGTCGTTTTAAAAAAAATCCTAATAAATGGACGCAATGCACCAGACGTGGAACCCTATTATACAAGTAAACTAATATAATATCAATTAAGTTCACGATATTTTATTAATTTCACTTTGTATAGAACTGGCAATGACTCACCATTGACAATATCTGACAAACAAAATATCCATTTACGAGAACAAGTTCATCATTGAATCTCTCAAAAAAGTCCAGTCACAATGTTGGAGATGAAAACAATTCCAAAGTTTTGACGAATAAAAAAACACAAAGCTTTTCAAGAGATCGGCTGGAAATTAAAAGAAGCGATCTTCCTAAGACAAAATGGAGCTTGTAAAATTATAATAAATACATTTTTATGGCATTTTAAACATGCTTCGTATTTCCATTTCTTCAATGCTCTGGTGTAAAAAAAGCAACAAATAAACTAAGTTTTTACCGGTTTTATGCAAATACTGTTAGTTTATTAATTTTTGTGGGAATTTATATTCATTGAATTCATAGATACTCTAAATTAACGAATTTTAATGTCCACAAAAGGATAAACAGATAAAAGTTTATATGAATGATAGTTTGGTGCACTTTTATACATAGATTTATCTATGAAAATCAGGTGTCAACAATAATGAATATTTTTGTTTAACCACGAAATAATTTGAACCCCACGAAAATAAAAGAGTTTACAGTAATGCAGTAAATTCACTTTCCGAAAAATTCTTAAAATCTCTCGACCCTAAAATTGGAATAATATTTGATTGATCACGTCATGACTGATCATGCAGACATGGACATGGACAAAATTTGTTTTTATTCCTCTCTTGACAGCAAGTCAATGATGTGTTAAAATGAAAAGTCAGACAGTGACAATATATATTTATTGTTTATTAGCACGTACCATTGTATAGGTGTACTAGTATGTAGATCGTGCAATATGAAAAAAAACACTTGATTCATTTATATGTCATGCAGATTTGCTGACTACAAATCCTCCAAATTTAATCTCTCTTTTCCCCTCCTTTCAGTGAGCCCATTATTGTTTTGCAATAATTACAAATAAAACTACAAATTCTTAAAGAGTTGTTGAAATTTAAAAAAAAAAGTCCACATATGGTCTTTCAAATATGATGTTTTTATATACAGATAAAAATTACTGTAATAACCCTCATATGTATTGCCACGTAAATTTATCTACTTGGGAGTTCGTTTACAAGGTAAAATGGAGATTTATCTAGTGACAAATCTGCAAAGAACCCTGACTAGAAAGAAAATGTGATTATATAAAAACAAGTCAATGGATAAAACTTGTCTATAAAGAATTCTTTACATAAAAACCTGTTAAAGAAACTTCTCTATCAGGAAACCTGTATAATATAAAGATATCAATATATTTATATATATATCTTATATATATACCAAATAACCTGTCTATTACAAAAACCTGTCTATTACAGAAAACCTGTCTCTCATGGAAACCTGTCTATTACAGAAACCTGTCTATTACAGAAACCTGTCTATTATGGAAACCTGTTTATAAAGGAAGCCTATATAAGATACAAAAATCAATTTATGGGCCTTCAGAATAAATCTTTTTATACCAGGAACTTGTCCATTATGGAAACCTGTCTATAAAGCAAGCTTACAGACATCAATATATGTGTCTATAGTGAAAACCTTTCTATAACAGAAACCTTTCTAAAAGGAAAAAAGTCCATTGTAATAAGGGATCTTTGACCTCTTAAAAGGTCATCTGCTTACACATGCTGGAAATTTACCCAATAATTGTTGCCTGTAAATTACAGGGGGAAACAAAAATGTATTACCAAAAAAATAGGGAGACACTTCTGATATTACAATTGCCTTCTTGAAACAAAATATAATCACTTATCATTTTTCTCGCTGTGCTCAAAATAATTTCTTGTTGTATTGAAAAAGAGTCTAAACTTAGAGAATTCAACACAATTTCAGTCACCAAGTTATAATTGATCAGGTGGTGATACAGTTATGAAACACAATGCAATTCACAGATCTTGAAACCAACTTCTGACATTCAAAAGTGTAAAATATCGGGCAAAATCAGGATCTTTTTATAGTAGTTTTTATGAACTTATGATTATGATTTATAAAAGTAAATACGAAAAATTATCTCTATTTTTTTCTCTTGAACAAGATCTCGAGAAATGAAATATCAAAGTCCTTCAGACCTAAAATTTAAGATTTTTGCAACTTCTGACTGATAGGCCCACATGTAAGGATAACTTAGAGGGAATTTGATCAAATATGAAGCCACCTTTACATACCATAACATAAAGGACTCTGGTTATAAAAATCTTCATTAGCAAAACAACTTACCACTAATTATTTCATCTAGTGAGGACCGAGAACATCTGGTTCATCACTGATTTCAATCACATTCTGCTATCAAGCATAACCAGAGAAATGCTAGTTAGTGATCATTGCAAATGTCAATCTGAATATTTTCACCAAGTGTGTCAATTTTGGAAAGATTTTAATATAATACTTGATTGTCTGATTGTGAGAGTATGCAGGCATGACTCTGTTTTGAAAGATAGCAGCACTGTTTGTAGTGTGTGATTGCCACCAGAGGTCACTGATAATCCAATGGAATATAGTTCTAAAGTCTGATATTACACTGAATCTGTAACTGCTTTGTGTTTAGCCTAAAAAAATCTGGATGTTCGATATCTCGGTTTTTTTAGGAGCATTTTTTCATGATTATCCTTAGATTTTGAACACATTTCTATTTTCAAATATCATCTAATATTTTTCAAAATTTTGAGTATGAATGAAAATAAAATGGTTAAGTTATTCTGCTAATGAATACACAACATGACTGTGAACCATAAATTCACTAGATCTATACAGAACATACAGCTGTGTTTTTTGCAAAATTTACAGCTCATTTACACCAACAAATATATTACAAATGTGTACCTGATGGTTGTTAGGACATTCCAACACATTTTATTTACAGGGGGTGTCAGGATCCTACCAAAAACTACCATTGATAATTAATAAATAAATATTCAAGAACTTTGTACATTTCTACTGTCATATCGCTGTGGCTTGATTCATAGCCACTTCAGGTTAAATACACTGTAAGTGAAAGGCAAAATATGCATCCATTGATTCAAGCAATTGAATAACAATCTTAGACATATATCTAAAAAATATCCCACTGTATGTACACAAGAATTAAGCCGTGTCCACACAACTGTGGCCCCAGTCCAGATTTAACCACAAAATACTGCAAAACCTGAAATAATTCATTTTTGACCTCTAAAAAACTCTAAAATCCAAACGCATCAAGCACTAAAGCTAGCTGTTTATCAGCTTAAAACATAGATTTTTGATATTAAATTAAAATTTACTAGATGGATCAACTTGTGAGCTAAAATAAGAAAAAGATGAAAAATTGAAACAATTAATATGAATAATCTGATTTTACCATAAATGGATTGGTCTGCCTTGAATGTTGGCATTACAATGATTTGCTTTAAAAAAAAAAAAAAAAATCTTTGAAGCCAATATTGAGTTAAAATGGGTTTCCAGTTTTCTATGATAAAATATTCTGTTGAAGAAAGATTTGTAGAAACTCTTTCTTTACCTAGAAAGTGAACCTCACTGGACATCTACAGTGTCAGGTAGTTGTTTGTTAAAATAGTTCAAGCTCCCAAAATCGGCACCAATTCAAAATATTTTAACCGAAAAGGATCTTCAAAAGTTCTTTACAGATTATACAATAAAATGGATGTACAGGATTTTCCTCATCTTAAACACTAATTTCATCAATACTAGCTACAATCATGCCATTTCCACACTGTGCGCTTATCAAAACATCAGATACATGCAGAAAGTACAAAGCACCATGAAGACATTTTCTTTACATGACTTGTATTAAAACAATTTTGTAAGAATTTTCGAGATTCATATGCTAGTGTGGCATTTGTGACAAAATTGTAGCTAATGCTCGACAGACTTGAAAAAAAAATCTTCATGTTGTTAGTGTTGTAACATTGTTCACTCACTAAAGTGACTGGGCAGGGGGGCGGGGAGTTCCTAAACAGTAAACAATACTCTAAACATGTTTTCACCCTCTAAATTCATGGAACTAAACTCTCAATATAGACAAAACAACTTAAATAAAATATTAAATAATTTCATTTGTTTTTGAATTCATTTCATGATTTTCTTTGATGAGTTAAAAAAAAATCAGATTGCATTTCTTGCACTTTTCACCTTGTGGTATGTTATATACATATACTGCTGTGAATCTCCACCTTGTGGTATGTTATATACATATACTGCTGTGAATCTCAAAAGTGTTGCCCTAAGAATGTTCCTTGTTGGGGTGTTTTACAGGCCCTGAAATTTTTTCATTCTCCCTTTTTCTTGAAAAGATTTTTTCCTTCTGTAACTGTATGGTTCTCAGCTGCCTCTGTACCATCCTTTCATTGGTGAGGGAAAACTCAGTAAACTTGAAATATGTGTGAAACTATTTATCATCATTACAACATCGGAAAAACTAAAAAAGAAGAAGAAGAAAAACAAGCATTTGGTACATTCTGTCAGCAATTGATGCTGTATCATATATCATAAATATAAATCTATAACAGGGCTCTCAGACCCCATTTTGGGACTGGGGCCTGGGGCCCTTAGAATTGGGAAAAATAGTGACCTTTTTCTTAGAATTGGGAAAACCTGGGGTCTAAATTGGGAAAAAAAGATACTATTTTGCATTGGAATATTCGGCCCCAAATCTGGCAGATCAAGAGCCGTGTATAAACATAGATCCTGGAATTATAAATGTCACTTGGAAGTTAAGGATGTCACAGCCCAGTTTACCTAAAAAATTCAACACAGAAAATCATTTCTTCAGCGAGTGCTTCATAGCACAACCAAAGCTTTAATCAAAGCCTCAAATGGATATGGAAGTCCTTTATCACAATAAGGACTTCAAAGTGCATTTTTGAAATCGCATTTGTTTTTTGCAGCTAGATAGGAAATCTGAGTTTGTAAATACATGAACTGTATTATGCATCACCTATTTACATATTTAGATCAAATTCATTTCTCCCACTGATCTTCTTTTATTACAGATATCTAGAGAAATATATTTTTTGCTGTAAACAACCAGAGTATTTCAAAACATATATTCCTTTAAAATGCAACAATTCTTTTCCTTGATATATTAATACCTCATTGAGTGTATTGGGGATTTTTTTTTCCTGACAAACTGGAAAATAACAAATGTCGAAATCTTAACGGGAAATTATAGTCCGAAGTACAGAGAAAGATAGAACTCTGTAAGTCAATGCAACAACTAATTATGAGTACAGTCTTCATGAAATAATACGAAAATTTAACAGTGAATAGTGTTGACAAAAAAAACCGAAAACATGAATTTAAGTGATCACATGAAAAAATGTTTTTGAACACTTATCCGTTGACATTGGGTGGTTCTGTACTAAAATACGGCATGGCATCCTTCACAAGGATCGTGTGGCAGATATCGCAAACTTTGGACACCCGATTGTTGGCGTTCGTTACTGTCTTCATCGTACAATCTGCACAGAATATACGACCACAGTGTCGACAGTGATGCTGAAACAATAGTATTAAGAAATCAAATATTTTACAGAATTTCATTTTGACTTCTAAACCGTTTATTTTCCATTTTTTTCACGGAATCTAATTAACGCCAATAATAAGCACATCATATTTCTGTCCAGTTAAATTATAAATCAACAATATTTCATTGGCTGTAATAACCCCATCTTTGGATTTTAAATAAATATGAAGTGAGATGGCCTCCTTGGCTTTTAGTTGTTTAATTTGGGAGTATTTTTTGTGAAAAATATTTTCTTTACAGAAATTGCTCAAAAGATTAAAAAGATATCTATAATTTCAATTCAAGTCCAAATTATAGCATCCACAGAAATCCTATTTGGTTAGCCAAGTGATATGATACAATCTTTGTGTTTGATCAAGGTATCAAACTGCAATGATGTTTGGGTCATGAAAGTTGAGTTCGTACTTCAACATGTCACCAACGATCAAAGGTTGACAAAGATTTCCTGCAGTTAAACCAGATCATTTTTTTATTGTGATTGAGAAGCTAGTGACATGATGACAGATATAATGTAACCTCTCAGATCTTAACAATTAGGTAATTAAGTACCTTTTATCAAGCCCCTACGATATGAAAGCAAGAATCCTGATTCTGAATTCATACAACCAAAGTGTACTCCGTTTTCAGTGAGATTATTCTTTGAAGAAAGTTGAGAGTTATGTGCCCTTACCTTTCGCTTTGTGACACTAAAAGCCTGTTTACAATTTGTACATTCATCGACATCATCTTCATGTTGCCAACGAACTTCGGTCTCAGCTTGACGGATTTTCTCTAATTGAATCTGTGAAGCAAAAAACAAAATTCTTTGATTAACAAATAATGTTGTAAAAATTAAATACATTACATTCTAACAACACAATATATATATATATATATATCACTTACTGTAAAATGATATAATTTCGATGGAATGAATTTTCATGGTTTGCCATCAAAATACAATTTATCTTTGATTCCTTTGTTGATAAATAATATTAACAAAATACAGTTGTGCTAGGATATTACAATTTATTTAGCTGAGCATATTGGAAATGAGCAAAACAGTGGCCAGGAAAATTGCAAGTCATATGATAAATAGAATTATTGGTTTTTACATACACTAAGGTAACAGGAAAGGAGGGTAAACATTTAATACAAAATTACATAAACAGGTACTTGTAAGGAAGGTTAAAAGCACAAGTCAAACACAAACATGACCTCTACATATACATTGACACACAGATGATCACATCACACATCAAATTCTAACTAAGCTCTTAACTGACACGAGTTTGTGACAGTACAGATGATTGTAACTACACAGTGGTACAGACCTGTAGAGATTGGGACAGCTTGACAAAGTCTCGCTGGACTGTTTCACTGTTATCCAGATCTACTTGTAGTGATGCCACCTTGTTTCTATATACATTGACGTCTGTCTCCAACTTTGCCTAGAAAAAACAATATAATACATTTTCTGGACAAAATACAGGCATTCACTTCAAATTGATAATCTGTCCACTTCTCTATCTGTAAAGTGTGTGTCTCACTCTATGTATTCTACATGCTATTGAAAATGCCCTGACAAAAAAAAAACCTTAACAGTAATAATGGGATTAAATGAAATGCATATATACACATTCACCTGTGACAATATTCTTTATCAAACAAGGAATCTCAGTGTAGCAAAATGGTAAAACAGTCTAACTTTTAGAAAAGTGAAGAACTACAGCTATCAAATCACAGGACACTGGCATTTATCAGATTTTGTTTTGGTTTTGGTTTTTGTTGAACTTACTCGTGCCTCAGACTGTTGCTCCACCTGTTGTTGTAAGGCGTTAATTAACTGTTTAGATTTCGCCTGTATACTTTTCAGACTTTGTTCTGTCTCCCTCAATTTGGTCTCTACCTCTGCTCGAACAGCTGACTCTCGCTCCAGCTCTGACTTCAGACTATCCTGCACAACTGAGAAGGCACAACAGAAATCAGAACATCTTATCAACAACTCTCAGTATCACATCCAATGTCTGTTTTCAAGCCTCCCTCTACACAAATTTATCCCTTTGAGACTCAGGTAGTTTTGAAAAAAAAAATATCTCTTGTAATAAATCTATAACTGTTTAAATACAATGTTCACATGCCATATTTAAAATACAGTTATTAGTATCTCCATTCAGAATACAAATATATAAGACAGCTAGATATCTAGAAAAGATTGATTTCACACCGAGAAAGGTCAACACTTAGAGCTATTGGTGAAAAAAAAGCAAATAAATTCTTCAAAAGCACACAGATGAAATTCCTACTATTTACAGAGAATGAGACTAACTATAAAGCCGTACCTAGTATTTTATGTTCTGAATTTATACACTGTATCTGCCCTTATCATAGAAAACTTATGTTGTCAACAATTATATGGATTACATGCCAACTGTGGTATAAGCAAAGGGAAGTAACTCACATATCAATCAAAAACAAAAGACATTAACATGTAGCCAAGTAGTTCTATTTTGGTTTGTTTTTCTCAGTTTTTTATGACCAATCATTCATCAATATTGGATCATTTTATAAAAAACTTTATATCATGACGTTGAAATAGATTTCCACTACTAAATATTTTATCTAAAAGGATTTACATATTCTCTATCAACCAACCCAGTTTCTCCTGTAAGCCCTGGATATCCTGGGTTAGCGTCTCCTCTATTGTTGTTTTCTCCTGCTGTTCGGCCAGCACCTGATCCTTGAGAAACATGATCTCCCCCTTTAACGTGTCTTCAGTGTGCTCCTTGGCTACCTTTGCTTTAATGATCTCTTCTCGATACTTAAGCAGCAACAACTGCATCTCCTAAAAATAGGGGTTGTACTTACAGTATCAACAAAATAACGTCAGGCATACCTTAATCCATTCTGATATAAAAATAAATATCTCAACTATAATCTGAACGTTTCATATGTAATTGCCATCTTATTCACTAACACAAAAGGGTCATGATAGCTCAGTCACTTAAGAGCGTTGTTCTATGTAATCAGAAGATGAGAGATGCATGGTTCAGCACTCCCTACCTCTGGCTGTTTTTTGGAAGGCTGAGTAAGGGACTAATTACTATGGGAGATAGCCAACAGCTGATAAATAAGACCCTGTGTCAGAGTGTTTACCTAGTGGTTCTGTTGTTGTCTACTTTGTTCTCACTTGAACTGACCAAGATTTACATGACAGGTGTCGTCAATGAAGCAGAAAAATCTGGAATACCTGGTCTTATTCTCTTTGTACTTTTTCAGTTATCTCCATGTTTATATTTCTTTGGTTCATATTTTACCTTAATTTCATTACATTTGTGTATAAATTTAGACCCTGTTAATAACATGACAAAATATGCTATGAGCCGTAACTCACTGAAGTGTAGATATTATTTGTACTCATCATTGCACAAACATTTATAGTGTAGTTGACAAGACCTGTTTAATGACTGAAACACCACATACTACTTTTCTAATTGGTTGGTGTATATCTATATATATCTATATCTATATATATATATATATATGAAAATCTGTTCACAGCCCAAAATTACAATCAGAAAAGTGTGACCACAATTTCATCAGGGGCTTTACTATCAATAATCCTTGTTTAACAATATCACTTCAGTTTGATAATACATGTACTTGTAAATGAAAATGTATTTGGTGTACAATACTGATTTACAACAATTAAGGGGACATAACTGCACTAAATATGGTCATAGATATGACTGGTGAGTCAAAAATACACAAAGATCAAACTAAATTTGGCAGCTAATAGAATGCAAGTGAAGTGAAATTGAAGACTATGATACGTACGTTTAGAAGACTATACCTTAACCAGTATATACCCTTCTATGGTTATAATGGAACAGCCTGATCATACCAAATGGTTATAATGGAACAGCCTGATCATACCACAGGGTTATAATGGAACAGCCTGATCATACCAAATGGTTATAATGGAACAGCCTGATCATACCACAGGGTTATAATGGAACAGCCTGATCATACCAAATGGTTATAATGGAACAGCCTGATCATACCACAGGGTTATAATGGAACAGCCTGATCATACCAAATGGTTATAATGGAACAGCCTGATCATACCAAATGGTTATAATGGAACAGCCTGATCATACCAAATGGTTATAATGGAACAGCCTGATCATACCAAATGGTCAGTGCTCCAGATAACTTTTTGACATGTGGGGTTTTTACTCCTACCTTTATAAATTGAGGGTTTTTTTCACCCCTGCCTTCATCAAGTGTATGGGTTTTTCCATATTAGGGTAACACTGAATTTGTAAACATTTTTGACAGCGCCATATTTGCTATGCGACTGGTTTATAATCACGATCAAGAAAGCGCCTTTTACTTGATAACACTTAGATTATTGAGGTTATAATATTGGAACAGCCTCCGGATTTCGGGTTAATACCATTTTTTTCCTAGCGTGAAATTAGAAATATTGTGCGTGAAAACGCATTCACGCAGGCTATCTGGAGCACTGAATGGTTATTATGGAACAGCCTGACTATACCAAATGGTTATAATGGAACAGCCTGATCATACCAAATGGTTATAATGGAACAGCCTGATCATACCAAATGGTTATAATGGAACAGCCTGATCATACCAAATGGTTATAATGGAACAGCCTGACTATACCAAATGGTTATAAGGAACTTGGTATTTGAAACCAATTTGACATTATTCCTTAGTAGACATATACCAATCCTCATAGTGAAGATAAAGTGGAAATTCCCAAAGCCTACCTCTAGACTAGAAGGAAGATTGATATCCTCATTCTGTAGCTGTAGAGCTGTTTTGGAATGTTTGCCGATCAACGAATCGTTCTCTGTTTGAAGTCTGGTCAACTGTAAAGACAAACATTTTATATTTACTTCTATATAAATAAATACTTGTAATTTTATGCTGGCTGTTGAGATAAATAAAATCAAAACAGGTTAATTCATATTTACCCTGAGTGAATTACTTTTTATGTGCATCATCAACAGCTTGAATCAAGAATCAGAAACAATACCAGGAAAAATAATCTGTAAAGTTTTCCTGTTCTGGAGTACTCCACTGACTTGAGACAAAACCACGAAAATAAAATATAACAAATAAGACTGATGTTGACAGCATTAGTTAATTTATGTAGGTCATGGAAGAAAATTCCAGGGGTCATGATATCAAATGATCTTTACAGAGTTTGTTAAACTTGCCATCCCTGAAACTTCATGACTATTGGTATTAATAGTAAAGATATTAATGGTGTCCTTGAAAAATCTTTTAGGTTGAAACTCCAGATAAAGTACTCACATACAATTTCAACATATGTTACATAATATAACGCTTGCTGATCAATATATAACAGAGTTCTGATTTTCTTTGTGTACTGCTGTAGAATAACCCATATTTTGAGAATATCTTTTAAAGTTGAATATCAATCTTTAAAAGTCATAACGAATATAATCTGACTTCTTAATCAATTTTATTTTTTAAAAAATGATTATAAAATTCAATTCTGCAATTTTTTTAACAACACGTTTACCTGTAGTACATATTCTGCATGAAGACCTGGAGCCCAAATAAACAGAATCTGCCTCAAATAATGACTTAAGTAAGACAATGAAATAACAGCCATCTATAACTCCTAAACAAGTCTTCGTTCATCACTCAATAAATACTGGATTGCTACATATTTTGCTTTTAATCCTATTTGTATAAAGTTTTGTATTACAGACGTCAGAATAAAGCAGAGTTCTCTGTCTCATCAATAGCATTCTTGCCAGAAGTAGCTACTTACCTCTTTGTGAACCTGTTCCCTTGATTCAGTTAATGTTTTCTGTAATAAATGAAAAAATAATCGATTCAGATTTCAAATTTACCACAACTTATTAACTCAAATCTGTTCATAGTGTGAAGGATTTTATTTCAAAATTAAGAAATTGAGAATTTGTTCCATCAATTTTATAAAAAAAAAAGTGCAGAGTGTGACCTTACAAATATATCTCATCCCACATGGAAATGGCTTTTCTGTAGTCAACCATATCAATTTATAAAACTGGTCAAGCATTACCTTTGATTCCTAAACCTTGACCAATAACACAAACATTAAATCAGATACAGCATATATTTTCATAATACAATGGTGTGAATAGGAATTCAGTCTTTAGGGACTTGTGACTACCTCACTGAACAACATATGGGAGGCCCTCACATACCACATGAGCACGACATTCAAGAAAATGATATGAATTATATCTTGAGTTAAATCTTTTATTTTCACTTTCCTTCATTTGAACACTTAACCTTAACAAAAGATGAATAACACTCTATGCATGTATAGAACGTAACATCACACTGGTATGGTAAAAGTATGAATCAAATCTATTGAGAGATTCGAGAAATCTTGAATATTAACCTTTTGGGAACTGACTGCACAGACAGAGAGAGAATTTGTGATATAGAAATAAATGCAGCTAAATTTGTAAGTTACAGAATTTAAACATTTTTGAGTTAAATCTTTGACACGGAACACAAACTGTACAAAAAAAAATGAGCAAAAAAAAGGAAAAGATTATAATAAAAATCTGCAGGGGAAAAAAGCAATGTTTCCGTTGTCTTTTTTAAATATGTAATACTCTGCTGATTCTAATATATTTTTTTACTCGTAAGTATTAATCTAGTACAAGTACAATGTCATTGTTTCTGATGGCAAATATCCAATATCTTTTATATAAACTAGTATATCAACTAGTAAGTTACCATTCTGAAAAGGAAGATTAAATTTGATTGGTTGACATTACCAGCTGATCTTGTAACTCGAGCTGTGATTGGGTATATTGTTGTCGGCTCTCAGTGATGAATTTCTCACACTGCTGCACCTGGTTTACAAGACTAGATACCTACAAATAGAAACACATTAATATTGTAATGGTTTACATTTCATCAACATTCAAAATGTATTTTTTTCTTAAAAGATGGATTGGATTTCAATATAGCAAAAGAGACTGAAAAATGAACTTAACTGCAACTAAGTGTACTAAGAACAAAGTTAAGCTGCTCTTGGATATTCAATTTTTTTTGAAGTGATATGATTTGAATAATCATGTGAAACATTTTGAAAGCTAACATTTATTAACAGCTTGATATTTTTACGTCACAGCATTTAAATCCCTTTTGTTACAATTTTGGCTATTTTCCAATGTATTTCAACAATGTCAACTGAATTGGATGTTTGTGGCTTTAAAAATCAAATTAAGGAAGTTATTGCGAGGAAATAACAAAAAAAAAAAAATTTGAAAAAATAAAAGAAAAAAACACCAAACAATCAAAGTGTGGTATATGGTATAAATTATATAGTAAGTATAAAAAGTACTTAGATTTATTAAAAAAAGGCTACTTTGTACTGACTATAAAAACATATTTTACATTTAGAATTTCCATCTCTAATTTTCTGTTTTAATCTGGATTGTATTCACGAGAGTGTAATTGCAGTATGAACCATAGGACAATAATATGCTATGCCTTTGGCAGCATGTTGGCTGGTGTTACGTCAATGCCTTGCATGTTGCCGTACATAACTCGCTTTGTAGATTATAGATATCTGATCATGATATCAAAATTGGGAAAAAGAAGAATGCTTTCTGGGTGCCAGATAAGTTATCATGATGTCCTAAATCATTCTATTTATCTGTCGTACATATCGAATTCATATTGAAAATAAATACTATCAGACAGACATTCAGTTGTTAAACAAATCTGACTTTATCAAATTTATAATTTATTTTAATACCTTTGCATTTATCATGCAATAAGTGCTGAATGAGAACAGGGAGGGGCACTTTTAATATCAAGTGGTAATGAAAAAGCTGTTGTTAGCAATTCTTCTCAAAATGTAAAGTTTCTATTTGGCTAATTACCATGCATATACCAAATAAATGGTGAAACATTAATGTTTTTGTTTTTTAGTTTTCCGAAAATAGAATTTAAAAAAGACTACAAAAATTTCTTTTTTATTCTTCATTTTTTATTTCCAAACTATAACTAACTAGAAGGACAACATTAAACCTGGTGAGCTTGGCTCTTCGTACAATAATTCTATATGCATTTACCTGTTTTTCTGCCTCCTCAGCTGAAGACTTCAAACTTTCTTCAAGTTCTGCAATATATTTCTTTTGATTCTCATTGACCTGTTTCTCTACTTTGAGCTGTCGGTCCAGAGAGTTCGCCTTCACCTGCTCCTCTTTTGATGCCTCTTGAACGCCCTGCAGCTGGGCTTCATAATTATTGCACATATCACATGGTCGCCCAAGTTTTTCCCGAGCTTCTCGTAACTACAATAAAAAAATAATGTCAAACATGTTATCTTTTCAAAAATTTGCTGCCTTCTACAGTTTCTTACCATCATAGCAGTTTATTAAATTATCATTCTATAATCATGGCTCAGTGTTCTCTCTTACTCTGTAACTACACTTTCCAATGAGAACAACAAGAAAGCAAGATATTATCTTAAGACATGAATATCTCCACTTATATGAAAGCCAGATTGGTGGAGAAATCAATATTACGATAATATGGGGCTAATATGGACCAAATGTGTTGAAAGGTTTTCAAGCTATGACAATGATTTGGAACAGAATCGGATCAGATGGGATGGGACTGGACATAGCAAAATAGGTAACAGTTAATGTTCCTTCCACCCAACATAATATGTTGGAGGCATCAGTAAATTTCAGTAAAATTTCACTAAATACATATTATCAATGAAATATTGCAAAACACTCTATAATTGTTCATAAATATCTCTCATACACTCTCTGAACTTGTCAATAAAGTTCTCTCATATACCTGAGTTGTCATTAATGTTCTCTCATACACTCTCTGAACTTGTCAATAAAGTTCTCTCATATACCTGAGTTGTCATTAATGTTCTCTCATACACTCTCTGAACTTGTCAATAAAGTTCTCTCATACACTCTCTGAACTTGTCAATAAAGTTCTCTCATATACCTGAGTTGTCATTAATGTTCTCTCATACACTCTCTGAACTTGTCAATAAAGTTCTCTCATACACTCTCTGAACTTGTCAATAAAGTTCTCTCATACACTTTGGAGTTGTTAATAATTTTTCTCTCATATACTCTGGAGTTGTCAATATTGTCAATACACTCTCTGGAGTTGTCAAAGATTACCACTCAAGCATTTCCCAATATTGTCAAAAAAAATCTTTCAAACTCTCCTCATAATTGTCATTAATGATCTCCTCAGCATTCTCGGGATATGAAAATGATCTCTTGATTAAACATAGATACCTGTTGCTGTAGTAGGTCCCATTCTTTCTGACTGACTAGTCTCCGGCCATCAGTCAATGCTGTTCGCTCGTTTTTATGTTTGGCACTGGCTAGAAGTGTTTGTCTAGCTTCAAAGTCTGGTGTGGGATCTGAAATAAATTATTTCACATTTTAAGCATCAGATCAAAATGTAGAAAAAAACAATAAAAAGAAAACATAGATAAGAAATTTGTTCAATGTTGATATTCCAAATAGCTCTGCAATAAAACTATTAGTCATAGATGTGGAGGTAATTATAATGAAGTTGCATACTGTTTTATTCTCATTTAATATTTGGTTTATTGTTACTAGATATCAATTCCTAAAGATATATACAAAAAATAAGACCATAGCTTTTGAATCTTAAGAAAATATAATTTAAAAAAAAAACACAACAAAACAAACTTGTCTTGTTAAAAACAACATGAGGAGGGGCTCACAAATCACCATCTTCACATTTTTTTTCTTCTGATCTAAATCTATGGTCAAGGGTAACACTGGACCTTGACCCTGACAAATGACCACCAAAATCTCATCAGATGTAGGTCTTGAAGGGGTGACACTATGGTGAGAATATGAACTAAATTTGTAAATGTGTTGGTGAGAAATGTTGTGTATAAAGTTATCATATGTATAGTTGGCTGTTTACTCCATACCCCCATTTACATATGCTTGTGTCCTCTATAATCTCCTTGTCTTGGTAAATCCAAACTTATTTTATGTGAAATATGTAAGTTTCCAAATTTAGTTTTTGGTCCCTTTAACTATACCTGTAATAGCACGTTTTTGAGCTTCAGATAGCGAAGGGAGATTAAGAGTCTTTTCTGGACTGATCTGGACTCGTATCCCGTCTAGCTCTGATCGGTCAGCTTCAACAACTTTGGCTTCAAGAAAACTGTCGCCTTCTTGGCTGACATTTGCAAGATCAGGGTCTGAGAGGGACTTTGTGGAATCGCCTGTGAAATTTAGGTCACTGTCACTTGATCTTGTCCGAGAATGAGTTGTACTGCTGTTAGATGTCAGAAGCCTTGTACTTGCCTCAGCTTCCTTTGCTTTGAGCTTCTACAATGAAGATTTAAACAATACATGATTCTACAAATTGATTTTAATACTAAAATTTGTCGATTGTACTGAGTGAATAAAATGCGAAATAGATTCCAATTGCTTTGAAATGTACTTGAAATCATTTGAGTGATATTCCCAAACAGCTATCCTATTTCTTTAGGAATTTAGTAAAAATAAAAAGTGTTACACTATGCCAGGACAGGGACTTATTGCTAGACAACATAAATGAAACAGCCCTTATTTATAATGAGTGGACTTACCACCAGGCCTACTGACTACATATCATTATTAATAATTATGACAAAAGTTACTTTTGGATCTACAGTCATATAATACACACAATGTCATCAATCATAAAATTACCCCTGTATAAAGTTTATAATATCTGAATCCCATACATTATTCAAGAGATTCATTCAAAATTTGATACCCTGTTACTTAATACAGAAATCAAAGTCTTTTTACCTCATTTGCCTCTTCAGCTTTTTTCATTGCCCCTGAATAGCAAGCAAGCAGCAAGACAGTTTAATTTAGTGAACATCAAAGTACTTATAACAAGAAAATTGATATAATAACTGATTCAAGTTGTGAACAAGCTTATTAACACAATTCTGCAACTGGCGCTACCAAAGTTTGAATACACCTGCCACTTACATTTTAGCTGTATTCAGTAGTGATGGAAAACAGACATATTTTAGCACATGTGATAATTCAACAGATTTACTTTCTGAAATTATTTGAAAATTATGTTTGACTTTAAAAATAACTGTTGAAAATAAGCGGTTTTCACATGTTGTAATGAACTTGGTTATCTATGAAAAAACATAGAATCCCTGTTATATTTATTGATGTTTGGATTTATATTTCTGTGTGGAGCAATTACTTTGGTGTTCGTTATCAGGCAAAATTCAGCATCAACGTCAGGTAAACAAAGATTGAACAACAAAACTGTTGAAGTTTTAATCAATTTTGCAGGGTTAATAAAATACATGTAAAATATAAGCTGCATATTTGTTCAGAACAGAAAGATAAAAGTGGCTCATCTGAGGCTTGCCACTTTTGTCTTTCTTCATCTTCGCCAAAATACATCTGATATTTTCAGACATTGGTCACATATTCTCGATATATGTCCCTTACAAGTCCCCACAAGGTAATGGTTATAATGTTTCTCAATACAGAAACATTGATCTTGACCTTGGCGCAATAACCCTGAAACTCAACCTTGTCTAAGATATCTAAATGCTGTGTGTGTGAAGTTGATCAGTATTCAGGACTAGGGTAAAGCACCTGTTCGACGTCGCTCCTCCTGCTCACGTTGCTGTTTTAATCGGAGTTCTTCCAGACCTTTCACTTTCTTTTCTTGGGCTTCACGTTCAAGGTCCTTTTGTTGTAGTTCTGGTAAAACCAAAAAAAAAATACTATTATTGTAGTAGAACTTCCACAAGCAGTCAAAAAAGAAAATTTACGACAGTCTAACAGTAACCAAATGGACCAAATGGACAGTGACTCAACACAGTCTAAAAATGACTCATCATACACCCTGAAGTTGAATCAACACACAGACTAATGGTGACTCATTACACAGTCTAATGCTGATCCATGACAGTCTAATGATGACTCAACACAAATTCTTATGGTGACTCAACATACAGTCTAATGCTGATCCAAGACAGTCTAATGGTGACTCAACACACAGTCTAATGGTGACTCAACACAGTCTAATGGTGACTAAACACAGTCTAATGGTAACTCAACACAGTCTAATGGTGACTCAACACAGTTTTATGGTGACTCATCACACAGTCTGATAGTGACTCATCACACATTCTAATGGTGACTCAACACAGTCTAATGGTGACTCATCACACATTCTTATGGTGACTCATCACACAGTCTAATGGTGACTCAACACAGTCTAATGGTGATTCATCACACATTTTTATGGTGCCTCATCACACATTCTTATGGTGACTCAACACAGTCTAATAGTGACTCATCACAGTCTAATAGTGACTCAACACACAGTCTAATGGTGACTCAACACAAAGTCTAATGGTGACTCAACACACAGTCTAATGGTGACTCATCACACATTCTTATGGTGACTCAACACAGTCTAACGGTGACTCAACAAAGTCTTATGGTGACTCAACACACAGTCTAATAGTGACTCATCACACAGTCTAATAGTGACTCAACACAGTCTAATGGTGACTCAACACACATTCTTATGGTGACTCAACACACATTCTTATGGTGACTCAACACACAGTCTAATGGTGACCCAACACACAGTCTAATGGTGACTCAACACACAGTCTAATGGTGACTCAACACACAGTCTAATGGTGACTCAACACACAGTCTAATGGTGACTCAACACACAGGCTAATGGTGACTCAACACACAGTATAATGGTGACTCAACACACAGTATAATGGTGATTCATCACACATTCTTACGGTGACTCATCACACATTCTTACGGTGACTCATCACACATTCTAATGGTGACTCAACACACAGTCTAATGGTGACTCCACAGTCTAATGGTGACTCAACACACAGTCTAATGGTGACTCATCACACATTCTTACGGTGACTCATCACACATTCTTACGGTGACTCATCACACATTCTAATGGTGACTCAACACAAAGTCTAATGGTGACTTATCACACAGTCTAATGGTGATTCAACACACAGGCTAATGGCAACTCAACACACAGGCTAATGGCGACTCAACACACAGTCTAATGGTGACTCAACAGTCTAACGGTGACTCAACACACAGTCTAATGGTGACTCATCACACATTCTTATGGTGACTCAACACAGTCTAATGGTGACTCAACACAGTCTAATGGTGACTCAACACAGTCTAATGGTGACTCAATACAGTCTGATAGTGACTCAACACATTCTAATGGTGACTCATCACACATTCTTATGGTGACTCAAAAGTCTAATGGTGACTCATCACACATTCTTATGGTGACTCAACACACAGTCTAATGGTGACCCAACACACAGTCTAATGGTGACTCAACACACAGTCTAATGGTGACTAAACACACAGGCTAATGGCGACTCAACACAGTCTAATGGCGACTCAACACACAGGCTAATGGCGACTCAACACACAGGCTAATGGCGACTCAACACACAGGCTAATGACGACTCAACACACAGTCTAATGGCGACTCAACACACAGTCTAATGGTGACTAAACACACAGGCTAATGGTGACTAAACACACAGTCTGATAGTGATCCAACGATTGTTTAATCGTTGACCAAGATATACACCTGCAATCTGTCGCTGTTGTTCTGTGGACAGAACACTCTCCATTCGTCGTAAATCCATCATCATAAGGCGCTGAGACTCCAGGAACTGGTCGTTAGCCATCTGCCATGTCTGTTTTAGTTCCTCATGAGCTTTCTTCTCCTCGTCCAGAATGGTACATACTGAAAATGCAACATAGAGCGGATATGACAAGCAGAGTCTGGCAAAATGACAAAAATTTATATTCAGGTTCAAAGAACTCATGATATGGTCAAATTAATTCAGGATTCTGTTTACCACCAAGTAGTTATTTACTTAGATATATGCAGATACAAATACATTTGTATTAAAAAAAAACTTTCATTAGACTTGTACAAAATTCAAATTTGCAATATTATCTGCAACGTCATAATTGAAGGATGGGAACCTTCAGTCAAACACACAATTTGTAGCTCTGCTACATCATGTTCCATGTGTGTAATACCAAATAATACATGTATTTGATGTTATTACTCTCTGATTACATGGTATTTATGGGATAAAACCAGATCAGACATTGTTCCTATGAGTTTGTGATTCATTATGCCTTGGAGGCAGCTCAAGGAGGGCAGGTTGTCTTTTCTAAGCATGGCATTCGCAAGAAAGTGACAATTTGTCTATACTTGGCCTTGATTAAAAGCCCTTTATAAGTTATTTTGGTTGGTGAATTTAACTGTAACTGGCCACAATAATTAAATAGGCTCATCCTGTTGACTTTTTATGTGAGAATCAACAATGTGGCGTTTCCTCAGGTACTTCAATTGCCTCCCACAGTGAGAACCCTTATGTGCTTACATCTAGGCCAACAAACAATGATTAGTATCTATCTAAGAACTTGCTATCATACAATAAATAGAATTTTATATTAATCATTAAAAAATCATAACAGTTGTTATGAACTTTGGTATTTAGTGACAGGATTGAATAAACCAAAGAATCTCCAACATCATTACTTTTCACTTACCATCTTCAAGCTCAAGACGAAGTTTGTCTGCATCCTCTGCAAACACATTTTTCTGTGTTGTCAGTACAGCCACAAACATCTCCAGATCTTTACGTGAAGATTTCTCCGTCCTCAAATAATGTAAAAGCTCCTTGATCTAAAACACCATAAATTGTCTCTTAAATAAATCTTTTGTTCATTAAAATGTTAATTTATCTAAATAAACATTTAGGTTCTATCTCAGACATTGATGGTTTGTAAATAAATTTGAAATAATTTTTAACCAACGATGCCATGAAGACGTATTGCCTGTGTGACACAATAATAACCAGAAAATATCACTTGGAAGTTACGTTTTCAGTGCATTCTATACTGTAATGGTAGGTATGACCTTTGACCTAAATTATTACATTATAAAATCACATAAAAGCCTGCTAAGAAAGGAACTTATTTAAATGTTATCCTGACATCATATTCTTCTATATTAGTTTTGAATGACTCTTGTGTAAAAATTAATCAAAAAGTCATTTTACGAAATTTCTAAACTTTGATCACAACTTTTTTTTACTTGTTTCCGTTTTTAAAATAAATTATTAAACTTTTTAATCAAACAGCCTGTTTAGATAACTGTGACAACAGCTTATGATATAACTTGTAACATCACAATGATAGTATTATTCAGCAAGCATCAATCCTCAAAATTTGTGGCATGAATTAGATAACTTAAAAGATATAGGAGCTACTTAGTGTATTTGTAATCATTTCAATTGTATGACTACTCTGGATAGTATATGGCAACACCAGTTAAACAGCATATTATCCATTTCCAAGCAAGACTTACATGCAAACAAGGCATATTTTCAGGACAATTTTGCCTATAAGAAACTCCAGTCTTATTTTCAAGATGGGTTATTCTTGAGGTCAGTGTGTTTTTCAAGTTTTCATGACAGACTACAGGGTAGAAGAAACTAGTTAATACATATATCTATGTTATAAAAGATTAATAATGTCTCAAAGAAAATGACTAACCCTCTCCTCAGGATCACGGACTTGGTCCATGTCAGGGAGAGATTGTGTGTCTGGTGTCATTTGTCGGTGACTAGGACTCATTCCTCCAACTGGTGAATGCTAAAAACACAAAAATTCAAGCTGTGTATCAAATATAACATTTATGAATCAGATATTCTTAGGAAGCCAAATACAAACAAAAAATTGCCCTTTCAAAATTTAGATCAATGGGATAAAATAACTGGCAGTAAAGTTTCTTGCATTTAAATTTAATTTTACTATCACTAAATTTATTATACTAAAACTTTTTTTGTGTCACTAATAATACGAAATTTTAAAATGCTGATACTGAATCTAACAATGGTGATATCTTGATAAGATGCTAAATGATTTATCTCTTAAGGATTTCCAGGATAATAAGTCACTGAAGTTTTGTGTACTAATACTAAATTATGTTGACCCCTTGCATACATAAAGCTTTTGTAATTAGAGCAAGCTCTCTGCAGTGTTCCAACAGAGATATCATCATTCATGTCTATCAGATATTTTAAAGAACAATAAAAATTAAATCTGCTCTAAATATGTTCTATGGAATAAACCTGAGACTGAAGTTGGTGGATTTTATCAACTGCCTCCTTCAGTTTTTCCTTCAACATCTTTACTTCATCTTCGAGGGGCATCACAACAGACTTGAGTATTTCTGCATCAGCTTGTGCCTGAAAAAGGGAAATATTTACCTACATAAACTACAAAGGGCACAGGTGGCCTGTATTGCTCACCATATTTCAGTTATCATTATAAAAAGTAATTACCATTCAATAAATAGAAATATTATATTTCCCAAATTTTAAGTTCAAACATTCAGCCATAAAGCAGAGAAAGCATTTCTTTTTTTTCTCGCTCTTTTGGTTCAAACTAAATCTAAAACAAGAAATCTGTAGAAGAACTGTATACCTTCTTCATGCTCTCCTCAAGACTTTCGAACTCGGATTGAGAATTGGACGTTGAATGTTGACCGACACTAACCAGCTTCAATTGTTTAGCCACTGAGCTCAGGAATCCTTCTCCACCACTGTGAAGAGTGGACGTATTATAATCCTATGAATATGCTACTTAAAATTTCAATATACAAAAATATATTAGACAATTTATACCAATCTGTATCAATCACTCATGATCACCTACAGGGGCGCCTTCATAGACAGTGTGACGGGAGCAACTCAGAAAGGATTCTGACAAAAGGTCATGATCTAGATGATATCAGAGAATCAGAGGTTGGCTAGACATTCATTTAATCCACTGTACCACTAAATCACCAATATAATTGTGTATTGCTATGCATAGTTCATACAGACTTTGCCGGAAAAACTTTCAGGTTTGAAGGAGAATTCAAGGAGTTGTTTTTAATTTTCCAGCACTTCATTTATGAAAATTACAAAACTTTACTGCTTACAGTCTCTCTTCAATATTATGATTGCTTGCGTATATAAATGGAAGACTTAAATAAGTATGTACATTGTACACAACAGCAAAAAGTATCACAGTGCCTTACTCCTTTCATCATGGGGAAATCTTTGGCCTCAAAATTGGCAAAAGAAATATACTATTTTCAGTACATAAATAGTATGAATGCATCACTTGATAATCAACATATTTTTTCATAACATTTTCGAACAAATAATTTTGAAAAATTCCGAGCCTATTCCAGAATATTTTTTACAACTTTTATATTATTCAAGGAGTTTTAAGAACTTTCGTGAACTTCTGGTTTTCCAGGACCTGTATGAGCTCCATCATGAAATGAAATGCTGAGTCTTTACTTGATTCTACCCTCATTTTATTAAACATCAGTTAACTGCCAATCGAACACTGATGATATCCATAGCTGTTAACAATGAACTCTAAACTTGATCATAATAAGTCCCTTATAGGTAAATATAATTTAATAAAATACAACAGACTAACCTATCCTGACCACTGCCATACAATTTATTTCTCAGGTCCAGTAACTCTTCTTCATAATTCTCATTCAATTCCTGAAGCTTCTCTCGTTCCGTCTCATACTTCAGAGCTGTGTTCCTAGATGCCTCATTGGCTACCTCTGTAAAGTAAGATAAAAATGAAATTATTGGCTACCTGACAAGTAGGACCCTAATAATTTCAACCCTCTATCAAATATTACTTTTTTAGGCTAGTTGATCAATTTGTGATGACACCCTTGTATCATGGAAATTCCCTGTTACTATTTTTAGTCTAGGTTATCAATTTTTGATGACACCCTTGTGTCATGGAAACTCCCTGTTACTATTTTTAGTCTAGGTTATCAATTTTTGATGACACCCTTGTGTCATGGAAACTCCCTGTTACTATTTTTAGTCTAGGTTATCAATTTTTGATGACACCCTTGTGTCATGGAAACTCCCTGTTACTATTTTTAGTCTAGGTTATCAATTTGCGATGACACCCTGATTTTCTCAATCATATAACAATACCTGTACTTCATTCTTTAATAGTGCTCTTAACATCTCATGGATTATTGATCAAATTTAATACAGAACAGTCCTTTGAACTGTGTATTGTGCTTAGATATATGTTGCTGTAGAAAATGAAATATCCTTACATATATTGATTTTTGTTACTCAATTATTTTAGTCTTGAATTCGTGCTTTTCCTGTGAGACTCAATCAAATTTCAGAACCTGTATCTTTGTGACCGAAATCATCTAAAATTTTGGAAATGGTGCAGTGGATTCATCGGGAAAAATCCTACAAAAATTACAGTGTCATTGGCAATGTTCTCCTGGCTGTATTGGACAAGTTACTTTGTATTCACCATGTATCATCGGCACTAAATAGTACATCAGATATAGCTATCGACCTCCGAAGTGGCAAAAAGCAAAACCTGACAAAAACACAAGGTAAGGAAATTCCTATTAATTTCTTTTCATAGAGCTGACAATACTTCATACCTTGCACAAATATTTCTAAAAGGTTAACACACACTACAGAAACATGTCATGATTATACCACAAACATACATATGTGTGGTACCTCTGTACAGAGATAAAAAATAAAACCACATTTAAAACCAATTTTATACTGCACATGAATCACAAATGTGTTAAAAAGTTGCCTTAATACCCCATTCCTACTGACTCTTCCATGCTGACAAGTGTGGTTTTGATTTCATCTAATTGGTAATTGGTATAATAAATGAATTGGAAAGTGTATATCATATTAAAATGTGTTGCTTATAAATGTGTTTGCTACAATCTGTACATCGTTTGATGTGTTTTGAAAGGATTTTCAGTTTTCTATAGGATAATATAAGCAAAGATAGCACACATTGCCTATCACATACTGCCAACACAATCCTGCATATCTACCAGGTGAAGGAGGTGCTGGATAGTATGTGTTCTTCTCCAGTCAATAAAATTAGCAATAACATCAAACATGGATTCGTTATGTAAACAACGTCACAACCATACTGCCCAACATATATATATCTAGTTCACTGTATGGTGCCATGGTACGATGTGGTGTAATGATGAAAAATTCATAGCTATATTATCATGTAAAATGGTAAAGCAAACACAGAAGTATTTATGAATCCACAATAAACGTCATGCTCCTCAAAAGTTACAAAAGAAGATTACAAGCAACATTTATAAAATATATCTACAATTTTTCATAACCTTAAACCAGTTCAGTAGACCTAGAAGACATACAGGGAAAATCTGTAAAGCTGAGAGCAATTGGGGACATTTTCAGCAATTTTTGATGTCTAGGAAAAAGGAGGTGTTTCAGCCTGAGATAAATTGAAAGAATTAGAATATTCGAAAGGTTGGTTTCAGCTTTGATAATCCTGAACATATACCTTTCATGAGATGCTGGAGAGATGCTACTTCCTGTTGACATTGTTCATGTATAGAAGCGATCTCATCCTGTTTGTTTGACTCGGAATATGCTACTGCTGTCTTTATACCTTCCAGTTCACCTTTGACCCTATCTAAGTCTTCCTGCAGCTTTTTAGCGATATCCTGAGATTCTTTAACGGCCAATTTTTCTTTCCGCAACTCCTCTAAAAACAGAAGTCATACTTAAAAACCAAGTATTTACAAAACATTATACAAAATGTATATCTAAACAAACACTTAAACTAAATTTAATTAAATCAAATCAAAAATTACTCTGAACTTTCTTTTATGCTAATTTTTAGAGATGAAAAATAAACAAGCTGGTGACATTATTTTTCAAAATTGAATTGATATCAAGTCAAAATGAATGCGTTTATACTGCAAATGGTAAAATGCTTATCATATGACCTGAATCTTTCTAAGAAAGAGTAAACATTTCGAAAAATCAGCAACTTTGAACAATGAATTTTCTATGAATAAATGAAAAAAAAAGAAATTCAATATTCAACTCTGTACCTTCCTTCTGCAAATAGATCTCCTTGAATTTTGCTCGTTTTTGTCCAAAATCTTCTTCAATATTTTGCTTTTCTTTTAGAAGTTCAGCAACTTTTCCTTTCAGTGACAATAGAGAATCTGAAAAGTAATTTATTTTACCTGAAAAGTGTGATATAATAAAGATCATCTTACTTTTATGAAGATGAATATATGGTGATGGTGATGATGATGATTATGAGGATGATGATGGTTGTGGTGATGACTATATATAGATGCTGCTTATGAGGAGGATGATGATAGCAGTATAATGATGATGAATGACGATGAACACATTGTATAAGAATGAATGAATGATGATGATGGTGGTTATGAGGATGATGATGGTGATACTTGTATATGGTGATGATTGTGTATAGATGCTGCAGCTGATGATGATGATAATAACAGTATAATGATAATAATGTATACATAGTATATGGATGATGATGATGATGATGTGTATATGAATGGATGATGGTTATGAGGATGATGATGGTGATACTTGTATATGGTGATGATTGTGTATAGATGCTGCAGCTGATGATGATGATGATGATGATGATGATGATGATAACAGTATAATGATAATAATGTATACATAGTATATGGATGATGATGATGATGATGATGATGATGATGATGATGATGATGATGATGATGATGATGATGATGATGATGATGATGAATTCATCATCCCACATGTGAATGTATGTGTGTGTGCATGTGAGGGAGCATGTGTATGGTTGTTTTTTGTCATATGTAATCTACATATAATGAAAATTCTTTAAAAATAAAAAGTTACAAAAGAAATCTTACTTATATAACTACCTGTTCTCCTCCTTGAATCAATAATCAGTGTACAAAATCAGCTAGTTGTTCATGACACTTACCTGCATGTCAGTGTTAATCTGTACAGACTTGCAAAATAAACCATGTCTGTCGATTTGTTTCAGAAATCTAAATGAAATTAATTTATCAAATGTTATGAAGAAGGTAAATGATACCGTAACTGACTGCCATGATGAAACAACTTTCTCTCATGATGATAAGTGAGATTTCTAAAAGCAGTAAATTCTACTGTAACAATTCTGTTAACCTTTCATCAATGCATTTGAAATTATTTACGTGCCATATGCAGATCTAAACAAGATCCTGCATGATATGTCACTGCAGTGATTCACTGTGTTTTCTTTCCTGCATAGCTTATTTTGTGGAAAACATTGTCATATTATGCTAAGGATACATTACGTTATCATCTTCATCTAAATATGTATACATGTTGATCAACCTCTTTTAACATTACTGAAGATTGTCTCCATATTTTGATAGTTATTTTTAAAGCATAAAACATTAGCAAAATGTAATGCATGTATGTACCATCTAGAACAAATACTTTGATTATGAAAGCATATTGACAGTTTGTTGCTCAAGTAATATCATAACGTTGTCCGAGCCAACACTGCTGCAGCAAGTGTTGCATATAGAATTATGGAGAAATTTGATAACTATCTGTCAAAATAAAATTGAATTATATCATAGATCCATGTGGATCACATTTAATTATAACGCTTACGATAAAGTGTTCTGCATTTATTTTGATTTCCAAAATTATAATCCATCAATACTAAAGCAGGCCGTCCTGAGAGTTACAGTTGAAAATGAAATCAACTCCTTTTGGCAAAATCTAGAACTTATATGCAACATGGATGCAACGCGGATTGCTTACTGCATTCTCTAAAGGCCTATATCGAATTCCATCATTTATACTTGCTGGTGTTCAAGGATACATTAATTGGTTAGGCCTAGTCGTCAAGTTGAGAAGTATGCACGTGCCAAAGAAAATCGATAAAATCGATTTGTTATTGATTACATGTGATGCATATACACCGCAGACCGGCAAATTTGATGTTTGTTTCTAAAAATAGTAAATATGATTAAATTTTACAACTGAATTCAAATACATATTACACAGATCATGATGACCACACGTTTCTAAAATATGTAACAGTTTACGTTTCGTTCATTGGCATAATTTTGTCTGCATCCATCAGGATGATGGTAGGCCTACCTTCGCTTTCCTCGGTCGCTTCTGGCGACGCTGGATGCTCGATTTCGGCCATATTTTGAAATAAGTGGTCAGAGGTAAGCTGGTATATTAACAAACGTATCCATATTATAGGTTGGCTATCATGGTTTTCTGTCAAACAGTGATAACGTCATTCCAGTTGTCATTGATTTCAATATCGCCCCCTACTTCCCGTATTCGAACTCTTTTATTGGAGATAAGAAAGTCATGAAATAGCGCCATCGTTTGAAAAATATGAGGTTAGATAACTCTTGTACTGTGAATCATGTATCACATGCCTGTGAGGTCTGTATGGGCTCTCATTCGCCAACGGTATTCTGACGGGGACGGTGTTTTGCGAATGTGTTTCAAAGAAAAATATCAATATATCATTTAAAACAGCCATACATTACCTTCAGTTTCGATAACTTCCCATGTATTTTGTGAGATCACGGTACTCCCAGTCCAAATCTGCTTGGCTGTTGGCCGACTGAGATAAAGTTTGTGATAACATATGTTGTTTGATTATCAGTCGAGATGTAGTGTCGAATGTGTACACATGCATAATTTATACCACTAGACAGTTGTATGTTACTTAACGTGTATATCTAATTTTCTATAGATATAATTTACAGCACCTCCTGTTCAAATGTAATACCAAGATCTTCATGTACAGCTAGGGGTAGGGAAAAATGTCATGAGGTATTCTATCTTTACACACACATATGTATATTCGAGCGAGAAAATTGTCGCCGCTTCGGAAGTTAGTCAAACCTAAATGTGATATATATAATTCCTCCCATAACTCCCACAATAAGACCCCTCCCGCGGTTACATCCGGGTCAACCAGAGTGATTAGTATAAGTTGAAATAATTTCTTTCGCAATTGTTGTACAATAAATAGAGTTTATCGTAAAGAAGAATTATATTAAGTATATAATCCATGTCATGGTTTCTGCATTAAATATCCTTCGACAAAACAGTCGCGGATCTACCTGCCGCCGCGAGTTTTTCAAATATTCTGGGACAAAGACGTATTGCACGTTAGTTAACACGCACACAACTTTACGTTTTTAAACGGAGGCGGATGAAGTATCATCCGTGTTTTAGAATATTTGCATGTATATAATTTTTCGTAAGCAAATATGCGGCGATAAGGGGGTTCTTTAGCACAGCACGACGCTTAAGTCAGTCACAAGAGAGATGGTCCCAACGTGAGTTGTGCGATGTGATTTTAATCGTTTCAGTGAACAAAATAATAAATGTAATCAAGCCTCACACATGTGCATGTGCCACGCACATAAAATAACCCCAGAAAAAATGTGACGATCTCGGAGATCACACTTGTAATGTAAACTCTGGAGAGAAGGGCGCGTGGTTAAACAAAATTTGTCCGTTTTTATTTTTGTCTAGAAAGACTGTATCGCCACAAAGGGTTCCACAATGGCAAAGAAATTAAATAAATAAATAAATAAGTAAATAAATAATATGAACAAATAAATAAATGTTAGAAAAGCAAAAAATGCGAAATGGGGATCTTAAAGGGGGCTTCTTGGTCACAAGAAACAACACTACGCGCCACAAATGAAATGTTCTGATTGCGGTCAGTATATCTTTCGATCAAACCCTTATCTTGAAATTCTCCAAAAATATCAAAAGGTACACTACATAGCCCCGGGTTGTGTTCTGTTTCAAACACAGATGTAAATTCAGGTCTCCTGGAGGCATACAACAGATGGTAACATGTGTCGTTTATACTTTCGTAAGGCTGTCATCTGACTGAACAACAAGAAATCCTTTGTCCTCGTACATACACTGACAGGATTTTACAAACTTAAGTTGCAATGGGTTTTATTGCATTCGTCGTTCCATACAGTATTTGTAATTGTACCTAATGTTTATTTCTACTTCAGGGGCTTTAAGTTTGCGTATTGCTGTCCAAGTGTTCCTGTCCTATAGCACCATTGACTGTACTAATGGTAACCTTCGCCCATTTCATCGCTCAATACTTGCTGGTCCACTGTTTTATGAACCTTACCCCATTTTCTTCAGGATCTGAGATATATAGATATTTCTCTACAATTCCAATTCATGCAGTCCATCAGCATGCATATTTTCTGATTAACGCAGCAGTACATATTTTATTTAAACATATTTTATTGAACAATTTCAATGTGATTGGGCACAAGTTTTTTTTTTTGAGAGAGAGTCATATATACAATTTATGTTTTTAAGTGTAAATCAGTCTCTCCTACATACCGTGCCTTATTCACATTTCTCCTGTCATCCGGGTCCTTCTTTGAATTCTCACCGGAGTGAGGAGAGACATTTAACACTTTATTTTAGGGAGAGAGGAGAGATAATTGCATTGCAGTTATTTATCTTTTTAACGGGTTTTTTTATGTGCACTATAACGGTCTTCCGATTTCCCACCAATTGTAGTAATATATTTTCTCTAGGGTACGGGTTTACTCCTTTCACATGTCTTGGTTTCTTTAACCTTAATGGTTAATCTACAAGTGTAGTGATAGTAAATTGTTTTATTCAATATGACTTGTCAGTCATACTGGCTGATTCACTTGTGTGTCTTTTGTGAAATTAACGTACTGAAATACGTGCTCTATTACATACACATTATTATGGTAGTTTGAATTGAAAAGAACTTATGCATGTTTGCATTTGTACATTATGTTGGTATCTTAAGGGCACCGGATATGGATAAGTTCATTTGTCACGAATGGCGGATTTTCAACATTTACTGGGCGATTAGGTTAGATGTCCTAATATTCCTCTTACTGTCAATATGTATACATGCATTCAATACAAAGTATTTCATAATTAAAGAAGTCGTTTTTCTTTATCATTTCAATATGAAGCAAACTTGTATCGGACAATTCTCAATTTACAAGTGTGTATACCAAATTAACTTTCTGAAAACGGACGTTTTGGTCAAAATTGATAGGACTCTCTAAAAGGTATTTAGGGACTTATGAATGACAGTGGAAAGTGACTGAATTACAGGTTAACGTAATGGCCAAGAGTAAGCATGTCTAAAAAAAGTCTGATTGTATGGTGTTTTATGCACGACGTCTAAAAATGCGTATTTATCGTTTGTAAAAGATATATTCAAAATTGATTAAAAAGTTCATTCCTTTATTAAAATCGGTTTTCTTTGAGGGTACGTTAATTAATGAAACATAGTCCGTCCCTAAGACTGTCTGCAGTGTAAAAGTGTTATTAGGACGAAAGTTCGTCATGGCAATTTAACAGCTGACTCTAGATTTACATATGTTGAACAATGAACTGTCAAGACTCCGACATTGACACACTGTACTTGACAAAGGAATTGGACGTTTCCGATAACTAAATATAGCGAAAGAGACAGTTTTCAATCGCTGTTTGTGTTATAGATATACAAATTTTACACCTTTAAGATCAAAGCAAGCAGTCCTGACTAGCATTGAAGGATAGATCAAAATGTAAATATAATCATAATCCAAACTTAAATGCAATAAAATAATAAAGCAAATAATGGACGAAAGGCAGATTTACATTAAGACTCTTGAAAAAGTACTAAGAAATAAGACCAGATGTTGAGGAAGAGTAAGCGTCTTCTGCTTCATCGACGACACTAGCCATGTAAATCTTGGTAAATCCAAACAATTGATATCACGTTCTCAAATAAGAACATGATGTACAACAACAACGGAGCCAACAGGCAAACCAACGATCACACTACTTCATATCGCACAAAGATTAGAATATTTGACAATGAGATCACCATGCCGACCGTAAATTTTTCCCATAACTTTCATCTTTTATCTTTGAAACCTTGATTTACGAGTTTTTCAGTCAGTTGATGACTTCCTACACGAAAATCGTAATATTGGGAACAGACCCTTAAATATCGAATCGATTGCGACATGTAAATACCTGGGGGTGCAGGATTGTTACTATTCAGAAATGGAAAATCTACAATAACGAACTTAAAATCATTACGCTTATCATAAAGCTGTCCATGTCGGTTTTGTTGTAGGAAAAGACCAAGATTAGCGGCAATTGTTGACGAGTCTCCGGTGTTCCTGATTTGCGATTTCAATTGTCAACCGTTTCCATGCTCGTCATGGTGGTGGTGACAGTTGTTGGTAGTGGTGGTAGTTGTGGTGACTGTTGTTGTTGGTGATAGTGACTGTTTTTGGTAGTGGTGGTAGAGATGGTGGTGGTGGTTGTGCTGTAGGTGGTGGCGGTAGTTATGGTGACTGTGCTGTTGGTGTTGGTGGTGGTTGTGTTGTTGTTGTTGATGGTAGAAATAGTGAACGTTGTGCTGCTGTTGCTGGTGGTGGTGGCAGTGATGATGGGCTGTTGTTGTTGGTGGTGGTGGTGATGTAGAGATGGTAGAGGTGGTGGTGGCTATGCTGTTGTTGGTGGTGGTAGTTGTGGTGACTGTTGTTGTTGTTGGTGTTGATGGTAATATTGTTGTTGATGGTAGAGATGGTGGTGGTGGCTATGCTGTTGTTGGTGGTGGTAGTTGTGGTGACTGTTGTTGTTGTTGGTGTTGATGGTAATATTGTTGTTGATGGTAGAGATGGTGGTGGTGGCTATGCTGTTGTTGCTGGTGGTGGTGGTAGTTGTGGTGACTGTTGTTGTTGGTGATGGTGACAGTTGTTGGTGGTGGTGGTGGTAGAGATGGTGGTGGTGGCTATGCTGTTGTTGCTGGTGGTGGTGGTAGTTGTGGTGACTGTTGTTGTTGGTGATGGTGACAGTTGTTGGTGGTGGCGGTAGAGATGGTGGTGGTTGTGTTGTTGTTGCTGCTGGTGGTTGTGGTAGTTGTGGTGGTTGTGCTGTTGTTGCTGATGGTGGTGGCAATGATGATGGGCTGTTGTTGCTGTTGGTGACTTGTAGTTGTGGTGGTAGTTGTTGTGATTGTTGTTGTTGTGATGGTGGCAGTTGTGGGCTGTTGCTGCTGGTGGTGGTAGTTGTGGTGGTAGTTGTGGTGGTTGTGCTGTTGTTGCTGCTGGTAGTGGCAGTTGTGGTGGTAGTTGTGGTGGTTGTGCTGTTGTTGCTACTGGTGGTGGTAGTTGTGGTGGTAGTTGTGGTGGTTGTGCTGTTGTTGCTGCTGGTAGTGGTAGTTGTGGTGACTGTTGTT